ATTATATTATATTTTTTATAAAATATGAAAAATTTAATATAAAAATTACTTTTAATAAGGAAAAGAATAATTATAAAAATAATATAATATATTATTAAATTATTATAAATAATGCCTTTCTTTATAATTTCTTTTTAAAAAATATAATTATTAAAAAAATAATATTAATAAAAATAAAGAAAATATAATATTTACTTTTACTTTTTAATTTATTTTAATTAAAAAATATATTTATATTTAATTTTAAGGCATTATTTTTAATATAAATATTATAATCTTTTTTATAATAAAATATAAATAATATTTTATTTTTTTAATATAAAAACTTTTTTATTTAACTTAATATTTTATAAATAAGAAAAGCACTTATTAAATTTAATAAGAAATTATAAGCTTTATCTTTAAAAATAATAATAATAAAAATTATAATTAATTTAATTACCTTTTATATTATTAAAATATATACCCTTTTTTTACTTTATATAAATAATATAAATAAGTTATATATTTATTTATAAAATATAATAAATAAATTAATTTAATAATAATTAAATAACTTAAAAAATATTTTTAATTAATTAAAAATAAAAATATTTTTAATACTTTTTATATATTTTTATTATATTTTTTATAAAAAAACGAAATTATATTAATTATATTAATATTTTAAATATTTATTAATTAAATGCTTTAATTATTTATTAAAAAACATTAAATATAATATAAAAGTAAAGACTTTAAAGATTATTATTAATATTATATACTTTTTTTAAAAATAAGTTTATTTTTTATATTATTAATTTAATAATAATATTTTAAATAGCTTAATTTCTTAAGTTAATTTTTTTATAAATATATAAAAAATACTTTATAAATATTAAATTAATATTTATTTTAACTTTTATAATTAAATTCTTTATAATATTAATATAAACTTTATATTTATTAAATTTTATAAAATAATATAAATAATAAAAATTACTTATAAATAAGTTTTAATAAAAGCTTATTAATTTATTAATAAAGTTAAATATTATTATGCTTTTTTTAATAAGCATTTAATATTTATATATTAAATTAATTATTATTTATATAAAAAAAGTTATTCTTTAAATAATAATAAATACTATTAATAATACTTATAATTCTTAAAAGATTATACTTATATTATTTATTTTTAAAGCTTATTTATATTTTATAAAAAACTTAATTCTTACTTTTTTAATATAAAAATAAGTTAAAGTTATTAAAATAATAATAAAGTTTTTAAGAAAAATAAATATTAAATAATAAATAAATATAACTTTTAATATTTATAATAAACTTAATATTATAAAAACTTTTAATTTATTATTATAAAATAATATAAAAATATAAAAAAATAAAACAAATAATAAAGCTTATATAAACTTTTTATTATTAATAATTATAACTTTATATTAAATCTTTTTAATAACTTAATAAGTTTTTAATTTATAATAATATAATTATATTATTATAATAAAATAAAGAATATTATAATTTAAACTTTATAATTAAATAATAATTTATAATATATTATATATTTTAGTTAAATCTTTTAAATATATACTTAAATTCTTTAAAATTAAGATAATAAAAATAATTTTTAAAAGTAAAAAAATAAATTAAAGATTTTTATTAAAATATTTTTAATATAAATATTTATTATATAATATAAAAAAGATAATTATAAACTTATATTAAAGTTTTAATAAAATAATATAATTAATATATTTAAAAACTTATTTAAGAAATTTAATTATAAGAAAGTATTAAACTTAATTAAATATAATATTTTTAAGTTTATACTTTATAATAAGAAAATATATAATAATATATAATTTTTTAAGTTTTAAATAATATATAAAATTAAAGGTAAGATTAAGAAACTTTATAAAAAATTATACTTTATAATAATTAATTATAATAATTATAATAAAAAAGAAATTTTTACTTAATCTTTTATTATTTAATAATTAAGCTAATAACTTTTAATTATTTTAATATTATTTCTTTTTTAATAAAAAATATATATTAAGCTTTAAAATATTATTTAAGCTTATTTATAATTAAAATTAAAGCTTAAATATATAATACTTATAAAATTATTATTAAAGATTTATAATAAGTATTTTTTTAATATTATTATATATATTATTAAATCTTTATAAAATATTATAAAGTTTAATATATATTAATAAATAATATATTATAAATATTATTATAAGAAATTAAATATAATTCTCTTTATTTATAATTTATATTTCTTTATTTTAAATAATAATATAAATAACTTTAATATTATAATTATATAAATAAATAATATTTTCTTTATTATTATTTTAATATTCTTAATAATAAAAAATAAAATTAAAAAAGTAAATATTTAATATAAGTTAAAAATAATACTTATTCTTAAAATAATATTTAATTTTAATAATATAAAGATTATTATTATAAAGAATAATATTATTAATATATATTAAAAATATTAAGATATAAAAATTACCCTTATTAAAATTACTTTTTTTAATTAAGAATAATAATATATTAAGTAATAAGCTTATAATGCTTACTTAGCTTTTATTTATTAATTAAAAGTTATATTTAACTTATTTATAATTATTTAAATTATTAATTTAAGTAAAAAAGATTATATTAAGCTTAATAAAAAGCTTTAATAATGAATTAATTATTTTAAATATAATATATAATATATATTATTTAAGTTAATTATAATTAAATTACTTATCTTTATTAATAATTCTTTTATTAATAATTAAAATCTTAGCTTTTAAATTAATTTTATTATTACTTTTATTAATAAAACTTAAAATAAAAACTTTATAAAATTAAATATTTATAAAAATATTATTTATTAATTTTTTATTAAATATAAAAAAGTTATTAAAAGCATTTTAACTTTTAAAATTTATAATATAATTTATAAATTTAATATAAATATTATTTTAATAATTACTTTATATTAAATTATTACTTATTTTAATATTAATTTTTTTTTATAATTTATATAAATTTATACTTTTTATATAAGTATTTAATTAAGTTTAATATAATTAAAATAAAATACTTTATAATTAACTTAATAATATTTTAATAATTATATAAGAAATATAAAATCTTTAAGATTTAATAAATTATTAATAATTATAACTTAATAAATATTTATTTAAAAAATATATTAAATAAAATTCTTAAATAATTTATAAATATTAATAAAATTATAATTATAATATAAAGCTATATTAATAAAAAATAATTATTTATTTAAATAAAAAGGAAAAGTTAAATTAAAACTTAAATTTAAAATTATTATTTTTATTTATATAATAATTAATAATTTAAAGTTATATTAACTTTATATATAATATAAAGTAAAAATATTATATTATTATTATATTATTTAATAAATTATTAATATAATATTATTTCTTATTTTTAAAATTAAGGAATATATTATTATATTAATTAATAAAAAAAGGTAATAAATTAATTTAATTATAATAAGCTTATAAAGAAAAAATTATTAAAATAATTTAATTTTTATATTTATTAATAAAAAATATATTAAATTAATAAAAATTTAATTTCCTTTTATTAAATACTTATAAATTATTTTATAAAATAATATAATTAATTAACTTTTAATTATATTTCTTTTAAGGATAATATTTTATATTTAAGATATTAATAATAATGCTTATATATTAAGAACTTTATTTTTAAAGATAATAATATAAATTGTTTTTCTTATAAATATTTAAATTATTAACTTACATTTAATAAATATTTTTAATTAAATTTTATAATTTAATATTTATATATTAATTTTATATATATATTTATTTATTAATTTAATTAATATTAAATAATTTTTTAAAAAATTTTTATATTTAACTTTTTTTCTTTATTTAAATATTTTATTTATTAATCTTTATAACTTATTTTATTTATTTTTTCTTTATAATTAATTAATTTTTATTTAATTATAAAAATTAAATATAATTAAGTTTAAGTTAAATTAAATTAAGGTATATTATAAATTAAAAATTAAATAATATTATTATTAATTTAAAGATTTAACTTAATTTTTATTTAATTTAAATATTATAAATAATAAAAATATAAGTTTATAAAATATATTATAAATAAAATATTTATATAATAAAAGTAATAATTTATATTTTATTAATTAATATAATTAAAATAATTTATTATATATAATTATTAAAATAATCTTTATTTATTAATTATATACTTTAATAAATAATTAAATTTTAATTTTTTAATAATAACTTAAGCCTTTTTATATATTTAGTTTTTATAAATACTTAATATAATTAAATAAATATATATTTTTAATTAATTTAATTAATTAATAATTTAAATTTAATGATTTTAAGTTTAATTTAACTTTTTTTAATATATTTTTTAAAGATATATATTAATTATTTAATTAAAAATTATTAATATAATTATAAATATATTATAAGAAAATAATAATATTAAGTATAATAAGCATTATAAGTAATTAACATTAAAGCATTAATAAGCAAGGGTTATATATAATAATATATAATTACCTTTAAATAATTTATAATTAAAAAAAGGTTTTACAGCTTATAATTATAACTTTTCTTTCTTTTAAATAATTAATTTAAATATAACTAGTTTATTATTAATTAATATATATTAACCCAGCTAATAATATATTTTATATAATTTATTTATAATTTATAAAAAGAAAAAATAATTTTATAATTAAGCTTATAATTATAAAAAGCTATAAATATTATAAGGGTTTAAAAGCATAATTATAAAAGTATTTATCTCTTAAGAGTAGTATAAAAGGAGGAAATAAAAGAAATTTAGCTATTTAAGCACTTTAGAAAGTGGTTGCAAACCAGGGTTAGGGATGTGCGTGAAACACCACCGCCGTTCTCACGGATGCTTTCACCATGGTGGAAGATGACTTGCCCACGGATATCAGATTTGAGCCCTGGTCTCCGCGCCTTGGTTCTGTTGGCTCTGCTGACGCTCCTGGCGGCACAATTTCCGAGCGAGCCAAGTCTGCTGTCTCGTCTGTTGGCAAGGTTGAACTCCAGGGTGATATCACTGTGCTTACCAACTTGACGTCCAAGTACTACGCAGGCATCGCCTTCTCAATGTACGCTAGGTCACTGTACGCCACCAACAACATCGCCGGAGAAACTTCAGTCTTTTCACAGTCACTACGAAAGCTCGAAAATGCCTTTGGTAGGTATGTGAACAACTTGGAGCCAAATCCTTTGGCATACGACACGGTGTGGGGCGGAGTCTGCTCGACTGGATCCTATGGAAACAATGATTCCTCGATCGACTTTGGCAACACGTATTACAACGACCACAACTTCCATTATGGGTACTACGTCTATACGGCGGCGATAATTGGCTACCTTGACCCAAACTGGTTGACGAGGAACAACTCAGCCAATACAGTTTGGGTCAACACCTTGATCTGTGACTGGGCAAATCCGTCCACAGAAGATCCGTACTTTCCGTTCTCGCGCTCCTACGACTGGTACCACGGACATAGTTGGGCCAGGGGCGTCCTCGAGTCAGAGAACGGCAAGGATCAAGAGTCTTCAGCCGAGGACGCCTTCTCGACGTATGCGATCAAGATGTGGGGACGTACTATCGGCGACCCGGTCATGGAAGCCCGCGGCAACCTGCAGCTAGCCATCACAGCGCGGGCACTGCAGAGCTACTACCTCCTCGACAGCAACAACATGGTCCAGCCACCCAACTTCATCGGCGTCAGGGCTGCCGGCATCCTGTTCGATAGGCTGGTGAACCATACCACGTGCTTTGGCGACCAGGTGTCTTTTGTCCAGGGGATTCACATGCTGCCGATCAACCCCAGTAGCGCATACACCCGCAAGGCAGCGTTTGTCCGCGAGGAATGGGATCAGTACTTCACTGGGAACAAGTCGGGGTCGCTAACGGGGGGCGTTTTCGTGGGCCATGTGTATGTTAACCTCTCCATTGCGGACATGGAGGGTGCGAGGGAGAGTTATGAATTCATGCTGCAGCAGCCGGTCAATGGGCCTTCCGTTGATGGCCAGAGCCTCGCGTGGAACCTAGCCTACACCGCAGCTTTGGGTGGAAGTCTTGCCTCGAATTCGACGGTTACTGGCGCTCGAAGGAAAAGTAGAGACTTGGGCGCGGTTTGACGCACCCACGAGAGGCTGGATTCCCAGAGTTTCCTGGAATCAACGCAGACAGACCAAGAAGTTAGACGACATATAATCGATTGAAACTAAAAGCCTCTTCACTCGTTCTGAATTTCTGATGTGACCCTGCCGGATTACATAGAGGAACAAGAGTGGTAATTGATATGGAAGACGAGTCGCTTGAATGCTTGTGCACCAAGAGATTAATACCGTCCCAAGTTCCGTTTTAAGATACGGTTCTATCACTCCGTTTAAACCCGGCGCGTTTTAGGCGTGTGGTCACGCAAGCCAGGTGCTGACTCAGAGGCCGATAAGATAAGGATTTTCTGGGAAGGCAACCACAGCAGCATGCTTGGTCGAGCTTGACGACAACAACTTAAGCCCGCTCTCTCAACGACTCCCGCCGCACCGCATCGCACCTTCACGCGACCGGTCGCCATGGATCCGACACGCGCGTTCGATCCTTCGAAGATGAAGGCCGCCGCGGCGGAATACTCCTCATCAGAGTCAGAAGAAGATGATGACGAATACCTAATGCCATCAACAAATCCCAACGCAGACGAATTTGCCGATTTCAATCCCCGAAAGCGGCGAAGAACCGGTCGCGATGCCAAGGAGAGTGCAGCGCTTGGTATATTTGGCTCGGAAAGCGAAGACGACAGGCCAGGGCAGCGATGGAAGAGGAAGACGCTCCGGAACAAAGGCATGAGCTTCGTGTCGGCCGACAATGCGAAAAAGGGCACCGAAGACGAGGTCATGGCAGAAGACGACGACGACGACGATGAGCCCGAAAGAGCGAGCTTCTTTCGTGTGAATGGAGACAAAGACGTCGAGGACGATGAGGACGACGACGAGGATGTAACTCCAGGAATCGGACTTGGGTACGGCGCATCAGCAGGACTTAGTCGCGGACGGGAATCCCCATCGGATCCAGACAAATATCAAGTCCCGGAAAGATCGTTCAAGTTCGGCGGCACGAGCGAGCCTCTTGGGAAGGGATTCATGCCCTCTTCTACAAATGAGCCTGTCCTCAAGGTCAACGATGACGAACCAAGCCGACCTCAAAAAGCAATGCCTAGCGCATTCTCCTCGAAAGGCGGCAAAACCAAAATCAACCCGAAATCATTTGGCGCGCGTATGATGGCAAAGATGGGCTTCAAGGAGGGCTCAGGTCTTGGAAAGGAAGGACAGGGTCGAAATGTTGTTATCGAAGCAAATCTGCGTCCCCAGAAAGTGGGTCTCGGTGCTGTAAAGGAAAAGACAGAGCAGGAACGGAAGGAAGAGAAACGACAGGCAAGACTCCGAGGAGAAGTGGTAGTCGACTCAGACGAAGAGGAAAAGAAAAAGAAGGCGGAGCGCGTAAGGAAAGCTCGAGCAGGTGGTTTGAAGAGCGGTAGTGGGAGTGCTGCAAGCACCCCCAGGCGACAGAAACCGAAGTATGCAACGATCGAGGAGATCAAGAAAGCAGCACCGGGGCTGGATATACCAGCTGCATTTACACCGATCCTGGATCTCACAGGACCGGGCAAGAAGATGCTGACCTCGTCTTCTGGTTTGATGACCCCTACTGCGGGTACGACAGAAGAAGATGGCGATCTACAATCGAAGAAGCTGGTGATGCGAGCTCAGAACGATTTCATGGCCATACTCGAGGAGTGGCAGGGTCTACAGGAACGAAAGGCTTTTGCAGAATTGCAATTACACCAGGAGGCACAGGAGCTCGAGGAGCTGGAGAAAGCTGTTGAGAGCCATCAAGCCACCGCGGCTATTTTTGACGAGCTCACGCACCTCGAGGACGAAGACGACGTGCTGATCAGTGGAGGTGACCACACGAAGCAGCGATGGGACCGAACCATATCTCTACTGCGCAAAGCAGACCAATCGACGTCACACCTAACGATTCGGGAGGTCAAGGACGAGATGGCGTCCATCTCAGTCGCAGCCATTCAACCGATCATGAAGGACATGGTCGAAAACTGGAACCCTCTGGAGGATGCGCGAGCCCAGTATGCCAAGGACTTGGGGTCTATCAAGGAGCTGCTTGGCTTGCATAAATCCGCGGCAATGCCTCAAATGAGATCGTCAGCAACACCTTATGAGAGCATGATGTACAAGCTTTGGCTGCCTCATGTCTCACGGGCGGTGCGGGAATGGAGCGTGCGGGACGCTGAACCACTTCTCGCCGTGTTTGAGGCCTGGCACAGCGTTCTCCCTGGATTTCTGAAGACCCAATTGCTGGAACAAGACATCATAAGGAGGCTGGACGAAGCAATCGCCAAATGGGAGCCGAAGAGGAAGAAGCAACACAACTTGCCACACCTGTGGCTTTTCCCGTGGTTCCAATACCTGCCGGAGCACCATCTCGATCCCAAGAGCTCCACAGGTCTCGTTGCAGACGTTAAGAGGAAGTTCAGGCAGCTCATTGGCGTGTGGGAATTCAATCGTGGGGTGATCCCGGGCTTGCGGGAGTGGCGAGACATCCTGCGCAACAGCCGCACCGATCAGTGGACACCGCTCGTGTTGAATCAGATCCTGCCAAACATGGCGCGTTACATACGCAAAAACTTCGATGTCAATCCTTCGGACCAACAAACTGATGTTCTAACCGCAGTACTGGATTGGCTAGATCCTGTGTCACCCACCATGATTGCTGAGGTCATTGCCGCGGAGGTTTTCCCCAAGTGGCATGAGATTCTCTACCAATGGCTGGTCATGGAGACGGTGAATTATGAAGATGTGGCCCAGTGGTGTGAGTGGTGGCATGATGAGGCATTGGCTGGAATCGACGACATCCCCTCAATAGCGTCCGAGTTTGAGAAGGGTCTTCACACGATCGAGCACGCATTGGAGTTGTTCGACTTGAACCAAGACGCCTCAATATCTCTGCCTCCACCAGAGCATAGCCAAGGCTCGGCATCGCAGAAAGCCACCAAGACTAATGGGCATCATCACCATAAGCGAGAGCCCCACCGCGAGCAAAAGCACCACGCCAGCCCGTTCGAGCCCACCAAGAAGGACTTGGAACGGTCGTTCCGTCATATTGTTGAGGATTGGTGCCAAGAGAACGATCTGCAGTTCATGCCAGAGCGGAGAAAAGTGCACTCCGAGGGGCCTTTGTACAGAATCACGGCTCGAGGCGACGGGAGGGGAGGTGCGCTGACATACTTCAAGGGCGACAAGCTGTGCGTCGAGACCAAGAACGGCGTAGAGGAGTTTACGGGCGAGCCCGGTAGCAACGACTGGGACAGGCTTATGACGTACGCGTTGTAGCTGTCTTGCCGTATATAATTCGCAGCCAGCCATATCCAGCATCAGAATGCCGAGCAATCGGCGCAATCTCTCCCGTACTCATCACCCTAGACTCCGGTCACAATACCGTTGAACGATCTTCACCCCGTTCCCCCGCCCTCATACTACATTTCTTGTCATGTGACAACTTTGAGCATGTCTGAGTGATCCGAACGCAGGTCTATACCGAGGCCTTCCAATGACAACCAGGCTCGGCTGCCTCCAAGTCTTGTAGACGCCACAATCTCAGTACAGTTGCTCAGCTCGTATCAGGTTGCCCGGTAGCTGACGGGCGTTGAGCCGGAAGTCGGTCTGCTGACTGTGTCCGGCATTCGTGAACGGCCAGCGGTTCGCCGGCCTTTCCTTTGTACGTTATGCGGTGTGGCCCAGTCAGCGGGACAGCCATTGATTCTGTTTCTGTGAGGTGATATGTACGATGCCTTCCTGGTCATGTGTGCGCGACTTACGGGACGGTCGGCTGCTGTGGCCCTTTACCCCAGATATTAGATCTGGCGGATAAGCGCTACCGGCCGTGTGGCTCACGCCCCAGGCCGGGATGTTACGCTTTCGCCTGGTTCAGCTCCAGGTCAGCTGCCTAGCTCGTATCCTCCCAGATGCTAGGTAGACTTTTTACGAAGAAATGGTTCGTGTGGTTCTTTGTCAATGTTCCCAGAAAATCCATTAGGTTCGTGATCAACGTGATGATGCCCATCAAGGGTGGCATCGCGCCTGTCACTAGATTCCTGCTGTCTTGCCTGAGTTTGAGGGTCCGCATCGCGAGCCGGGAGTGGCCCTGTCCGTTTTCTTCCTACGAAAGCCAAGACCGTCTGTCAGATATAAGCTTAGTCTGGCGCTTGAGCTTCGGCGGGCGTTTTCTCACAGGGCTGAGGGCCGACTCCCGGGATGCTGGGGTGCCCGACTGATGCTCAGCCACGTACGAGACCGGTGAGATGCTACGTAGTATGCGGTGGGCTGTTTTCTCGGGCCTAGTATACGATCGCATCGTGATCAGGCCTGATACGATTCGCCAGATGGAATATGTCGGCGTACTTTGCCTTGGTCGCTGGCGGCCGTATCCCGGAGTCCTCTAGCTTCGGCCTTGATTCTTCCTCAGCCTCACCAGCCCTACCGACTGGTGTCTATTTTCGAAAGCTAGGGCTTTTGCATGCATGGAATCTTTATGAGGTGTTGGTGACCATACATGGAGTGGGGATGAATATATAAATGGGATGCCATGACCCTCGAAGTAAACATTCATTCCACAGCATCATCAGCATCAATCAGTCTTTCTACCTTCACCACAATTCAAACTCACAGCAACAACCCCGTCTCAAACTCTCCCAACATCAAAATGCAGTTCGCCGCCACCATCCTCGCCTTCGCCACCGCGGCCATGGCAGCCCCATCAACCCAGTGCACCTTCGGCCAATACGTCTGCTCCAAGGACGGCCTGTCCATCCTGCAGTGCGATATCACTGGCCACCTCGTGGTAAGTATTCATTCAAGATAATGTGTCTTCCCGGGCGAGATCCCTGTCTAACACCACTCTCAGACCATCGGACCTTGCCCCAACGGCAGCAAGTGCTCCAACATCGGAGACATCCCCTACTGCCAGGTCCCTCCCAAGACGAAGCGCGCGGGCGGCCCTGCCTACTGCCCCACCCCCGGCACCTACACGTGCGGTGACAACAACGCCAACATCTACGTCTGCAACGCCCAGAACCAGCTGATCTTCAACGGTGCTTGCCCCGAGAAGACCCACTGTAGCTACCTGAACGGCATCCCGTTCTGTGTCGACAACGCCGTCCACGGCTACTAAGCGTTGTTCGTGGAGTTCGGTGCCCCGGGGGGGGGGGGGCAAGACGGGTGTAGAAAAGTCGGTGGGCTGGCTTAGATGATGGATGAGACATGACGAATTTCCTATTTAATCTGTTGCAGCTGCAAGAGCGTCGCTCCTTATACTTTAGAATTTCATTATAATATTACAGAGCATTGTCTAATATTTGCCTTTTCGATCGTCGAGCTATGTGTGGTGATACGGTGCCAACCCAAATATTGAAGAGGCTCAAGCATTAACGAGCTCGTGATCTTGTACGGTTCAAGAAATGCTGACATATACACATCTCGATGGGCTCTGTCAACATGTTAGGGGATGCCGAATGAGATTGAATTCGATCGCAATTCCTTATGTCCAAGTGTATGTGGTATGCCATGTTAAAGCCCGTGGTATTCCAACAATGACCCGGGCTGCATTTTGAGCCAAAGACTTCGTGTGAATATACCGAAACACACTTTTTGAAGAAGCATGTCCAGCAGAAATTGGAATAACCTGACTTCGCCGCTCCAATTTGAATGATTACGGCCTGATATCCGGCGCGGTCGCATCGCCTCTCCAAGGCTACCCTTCCCAGGCGACGGTGCCTGCGCTCGATTTCGCAAAGCCACGCACAACCAGCTCCGTCCCTCGCGTTTCGCGTTTGGAAACGTCAAACTTTCCAGGTCTTATTAGACAGAACCGCGGCTGAGTCAGTGGATACATGAATGAAGCCGCGGCTTTTTGAAGCAAACCATTCCAAGATGTGAGTATGCCACCACCCGCAACCTACACAATCAGGATGAGGCTCTACTATTGGTGTCAGAAGTTGAAGTGAGCTGCAAAATTGGCTTTCGCAAATCCCGGACTCGTCCCTGGGACCATTTTGCAGAACGTGTACGTCGAGCTTTTGTGCGGAAGACAGAACATACCTTCCCGCCGCGTCCTTTTTTTTTTTAAAAAAAAAAATGATTTTAAATTGCTCTCGAGCTGCAACGCGAATGTTTGTGGGTCGGACTCCAAACACCAACTCTCTTTATGCTCTGCAAATCCAAGAGCGCCCACTACGAGTGCAGACTCAAAGTCCATGCATTCTTGCCCTAGGATTAATATCGAGTCTGACATGCAAATCGTTATATTTACCATTTGAGCCAGGGGGTGTGGTTCAGGTGGGGTATTTAACCGTGTGTGACATGCCGCAGTCAGAACTTCCTCCTTCGTTCTTTTCCCCACACGATACCTAGGGTGCCTGCCCAGTCCATCTCTCCCGCAGACACATATGTGATTTAAGTTTCCTACTGCCAGATTGATAACTCATATTTATACTACCAAATCTTCATTTTCGGTCCTTTGAGGTCAACATGAGTGCAGCTGCGCACTCCGTGCTTGAAGCCCTTGAGGGGAGGGCAGCCAACACTGTGAAAGCGTCAGCTCTCCATGGTGGCACGTTTGTTCTCCCCTTGAACGTCTTCATCAGTGATGCCTTGGAGACGGACCGGAGCCTCGTGCCATCCCTATCATTCCTCATCGTCCATGAAGACGATCGTGGCGAGCGAACAAACATTCTTTTCGATTTGGGACTTCGCCGGAATGTCGACGATTACATTGTTCAGGTCAGGGAGCATATCAAATTCAGGCAGCCCATGGATACTCTGCCGGATGTCAGGCAAACCTTGGTGGATGGGGGTTTGAATCCCTCGGACATAGCGCACGTTATAATCAGTCACGTCCACTGGGATCACACTGGTACCCCGGCGGACTATCCTCAGGCGCAGTTCTGGGTTGGAAGCGGAGCCCTTAATGTCCTTGAGAACGGCCTGGGCTCACACATGTCACACTCCCACTTTGAGAGTGAACTCTTTTCCGGCCTAAACGTTAAAGAATTTCCCAAGCCGCCGGTGGATGGTGAGGAAGGAGACGGATGGGAGAAACTGGGGAATTTCTGGGTGTATGACTTCAAGGGCGACGGCTCCGTGTGGGTGGTGGACGCTCCTGGCCACCTGCCCGGCCACGTTAATCTCCTCGCTCGCCTTGATCAGAAGCGCTGGATATATCTTGTTGGCGATGCGTGCCATGACCGTCGCCTCCTCACGGGCGAAAAGGAGATCGCCGAGTGGAAAGACACGGAGGGACGGTCGTGTTGCATCCACGCGAACAAGAAAGACGCAGAGGCTACGTTGGCACGAATCCGCGATCTACAGGCCGCGGCGGTCCACAGCGGATTCAAACTCGAGGTGATTCTTGCTCATGGGATGGACTGGGCGAAAGCACATCCCGAGGCGTTCTTGCCGGGTAGCGTGTGAGGCGATTAGCAACCTGTTCTTCTTTTCTGTAACACGCCGTTGTCCTATCTGCGTTCATTTCTGGAGACTCGAATCCAGATTTCAAAGACGTTTCTGTCAGCTCGAGTCTCGAACTCCAGCTATGCATGATTGAGGCAAAGCAATCCTGTACCAGCGCTACATCACCTCCTCTCGTTGTACGTAGTCAGCCAAGCAATCACAGAAGGGTTTCCTGCCCAGCATCTCCGCATACCACGCCCGTCAGAGTGGTGAAACGTCCAAAACTCCAAGCCACTACTGGTGCACGTTGCGGGGAGACTGATGTCCCGTAGCCCCAAGTTGAAAGGCGGGGAAATGCATTACACAACTGCTGACTACTATGCAAGAGGTCCCTTCTGAGGTCATCACATGTGCATGTTCGGCAGTGAAAGTAGTGGCCGATGAATTCACCCACCTCATCCTGACACAGCTCTACTTAGTAGAGCTCCTTGGTACCATTATTGACAAATTCGTGTATCACTGGAAGTCTGCTCATCATCTACAAGTAAAAGTCGCAGACACACCGTCTGTTTTCAAATGACATACACAATCAGAGCACAAGCCTCGGGTGCAGCTATCAAAATGTCTGGCGAACCACTGAACGTTGGCTTCATCGGGCTGGGCGCAATGGGGTTTGCGATGGCAGTGAACCTGGTATTAAAGCTACCCCGAGGCTCAAAGCTCTTTGTGTACGATGTCTCAAAAGACACAATGGATAAATTTGTGGCTCAGAACCCGGACTCGGCTGTTGCTGCCGGGTCCGCCAAGGAAGTGGCTCAACACTCGGTGAGTTGTCGAAGTTCCTCGCTGACTTTTGGAAGGGGAGATTACATGTACTGAGTATGACTTGAATATAGACAACTGTCTTCACCATGGTCCCAGAAGGCTCCCACGTTAGGACTGTGTTCCTCGACGAGACAAACGGAATACTCGCAGCAGACCAGGCGCCAAGGACTCTGGTAGACTGTTCGACAATCGACCGTGAGACGTCTCTAGCTGTCCTGGACGAAGTGAGAAAGAGGCACCCTCAAGCGGCCTTCTTCGACGGTCCTGTGTCAGGCGGCCAAATCGGTGCGGAGAGAGCGACGCTAACATTCATGGTCGGTTGCGCGGAGGATGACCCGAAGTGGCCATTCTTGGAAGGCATACTAAGCCTCATGGGCACAAATATCATCGCCTGCGGCTCACCGTCACTCGGTGTCACAGCCAAGCTGACGAATAACTACTGCTCGGCGCTCATTTCACTCGCCACGGCGGAGGCGATGAACATGGGGATGCGAGCTGGCATGGATCCGCGCCTGATCCAAAAGATCTTCTCCAAGAGCACGGCGCAGAGTACCATGTGCGACCGGTTCAACCCCGTTCCGGGCATCTGCCCTGATGCACCCTCGAGCCACGGGTACGAGGGCGGGTTCAAGATCCAGCTGATGAGAAAGGACTTCGGACTGGCGTGCCAGGTGGCGGAGAACGTTGGCGCGAAGTTGTTGCTGGCTGAAGCAGGGCTGAAGGCTTACACTGATGCCAGTGCGGACCCTCGTTGCAAGGATTTAGACTCGAGGGTAGTCTACAGGTTTTTGGGGGGGGACGAAGACTGGGAGAAGAAAGAGAATTAAGAGCCTGGGCTCGTACTGCTGGCTGATGCATAAGAGGCAATACTACAACATACATTGGTAGACTCGCTTGTTCTAGAAATTATGGTTCTACAATCCATAAAACATGCCTATTTGGATGGTCTAAGGTATAGTCTGATATTATTGTAGACTTCAAACGGTGGATTGGTGTTCACACTTAAAGCTCGGGTGTGCATATAGCACTCGAACACCAAAGACACCGTACGCGCTTAAGGGAAACGGGCTCCTCTCGTGAACGGCCATTGCGGTTGGTCAGATTTAATGCCAACATTGCCGGTGCTCCCTCGCTCGTCCGGCGGCATGATATTCCAAGATTTACATGTGCATGCGGGGAATCAAAGCGGGAGCTGTTGGCTTGAGGGGATTTGGCTACTGCGGAGGTCAAATCAGCTCTCCGGACATCAGAAGAGCGCTTACTGACCTGGAACGATGAAATTGACTGTCAACACTCCACCCCTCGCCTAAGTCAAGTTCCTTGACGTCTCCACTATCATACAGAAGATCCACCATCAATCAGCCTCAAGATCGTTCCACACCCCAGCTTCCAACATGAGTTCCTCCTCTAACACCGCCCCCGCTGATGACAAAGTTGCCGCAGCCCACAAGACCCTCTTTGACGAAGGCATCAAGCTCCGCACGCAGGTCAATGGTGCCGAATATGTTGAGAAGGCCTTGAAGAATGGCTCGGAGTTCGCAAGGCCCATGCAAGAGCTTGTTACCGAAGCTTGCTGGGGCTCCGTCTGGACACGCCCTGGCCTGGAGAAAAAGTGGCGTTCGTTGATAAACGTGGCAATGCTTGTGGCCCTCAATAGGTCGACTGAGCTGGCAACTCATATTAAGGGAGCAATCACCAATGGGGCTACGGAGGTAAGCAGAATTCAGTCTGCATTTCTCGCACTTTAAGACCCATTTTCCACACTCTCTCTGATCTGCGACTCTCCTGGGCATATCATTTGTATAGACTTGACACACCAGCGCGTATCGTGTTTGTGGGGCCCCTTACGTTCTCAGGATGTGTTTGCTATTTACTTCGAGAGCTGACTCTAAGTGCGCTTCAGGATGAGGTCAGGGAAGTGCTTCTACAAGCTTCGATTTACTGTGGAATGCCAGCGGGGCTTGAAGGATTTAGGGTCGCACAGAGGGTCCTCGATGCCACCAAGGAGGAAGGTGGGAAGTAGATTGGATTTGTAGACTCATCAGTTAGAGATAGACACATCAAATTCAAGCTCAGAGAGCACTATTAGCATGCTTCCGCATCGCCGCCCAAGCCCACAATACAATACCTAGACTATTGTACCTCTGGGACTTCAGAGGGCACGATGACTGCAAGCGTGGACCAGAACGCCAGCGTACCTAGTGAAGGTATTGCCAGAATAGCTATTTCTCGTGCGACACGCCAGCAGATTCCGCAAGATCGAGAGAATCTGGAACATACAAACGCTGGTTGGTGACAGTATTAGCATATGCTTCTTCGTGCTCCTAGAACTGTACCCCGGCCATTCCATGGTTTTAACAAGCTGGTCAGACTTCGGCTCAGGTGGGACCTTTCGCGATGCGCTAACACCATTGCTGCCACAGCATAGGTCGACATTGGCAAGCCGCTTGCCACCACTACTACTCTTGAGGTTGAGAGTTGGGTACTTAGAATGCGAAGCCAAGCAGCACTATCCCCAACTTGACCTTACCAGCATCAGCAAAAGTTCTAATTTCAAGTATTATGACCAGTGCTATGCTGCTGTGTCAAGAGCTGATGAGTGGAACTGGAAATACACCGCCCACGAACTTGAACTCTGTGTGGAGATTGCTGTGGGAACTATATGAGATGCACTGAGTGCCTGATCGTAATTGCTGGTCTTCTTCGTCTATTAAACATCGACCGTTTCTCCACTCACATCGCAAATAGAAACATCCATGATGACCCATACCATTTAATCTGTTCTGAAAACCCAATGATTCTATCTCTGGCAAGGCTGTGACTGCAGAGCAAATTTTTCCAAGCTCAGTTACAATACGTCTATTTTTAAAGCACAAATTTACAGTATGCAATAAAGCTTTCTGGAAACACAAAGATCCTTTTATGGTCAATACCTGTGCTCAAATGGAGTGGATGCATACTGCTTAAGAAGCATATGTGTACAGATTAAAAACGAGACCACTATGCTCGATAATAACTCAGGTTACTATTGGGTGTTTCAACAGCATTTCACAAATTTCATAGGCTCGGCGCCAGATGAGCATGTCTTGGTAATTAGTTGTCTCTCAGTGGTACCACTTGGTGGTACCACCCACCGTTGTGCACAAGCACCGGTGTACGACTCAGCATCTCGGGGTACTCGTTTGACATGCCTGTCCGTTAGTTACTGGGTAGCCTTTGATCATGGAAAGGGGCATTACGAAGAACAAGATAAATAGAAGCAGTCCTCCCGATCAAAAATAGTTTCCCAGCCAGATCAACTACAATCTAGTCAAGCAACATATCAATCATGTTCAAAACAACCAACCAGATCAAAATCATCAACACGCAGTTCTCTGCCATCCTCGTCACTCTCGTCGCCGCCGTCAGCGTCTCTGCCAGCCTGGCTCCCGCTGTGCGCGCCGCTGCTGAGCTCCAGGGACCCAACCTCGAGAGCCGTGACCCCAAGCCTTGCTCTGGCAACCCGGGCTGCGACTGCCTGGGGGTTGTTCTTGGCAAGTGTCCTCAGGACTGCTGCTAGTTGAGTCCCTTATATCTGCAACTAGCGATCTCCAGTCAGCTATACCTCCTCGACACTATCGCATCGCTTGCGATAGGCAAATGGATGCCCGCAGACTGCGTTGAAGACCAGGGTGTAGCAACCGGAACAGCCCGGCCCCTTCTGATCTGCGAGAAGTCAAGCTCGGTCCGCTGAGATTCGATTTCGGCAGGGAGGTCTTGCTGGACGATAAACCTTATCTTGGACATGGTATTCATCTTTGCTGACTGTTTCTTTGCTGCTTCTCGCTGTTTCTTGCTGCGTCTTGTTATTTCTTGACTGTTCCTCAACTATGCAAGTTTTGGTGCAGAACATGAATTTTCGATCGGAGTGAGAGAAGAAATTACATCCCTTAAATACTTGTGAGTAGGCCATGGCTTCAGTATATCGGATATCAAGGAACAATGGATTGTTCTTTATCTTCAGTTAGTTATAAGAGAGAATGCTATTGTTCGAATATGCCCTGCCATCTGTATCTTTAAGGACATAAAAGTGATAATACTGTAATTCAACCATGCTATGTGGAAATAAGAGCCTGACCTGGAGACTATCTGTATTCTTTAAGTTCTTCTACTAAGCCGGATCAACAACAATCATCTAAGTAGGACAAGAGAAAATGTATTTTATAGATAATTACAGTAATTTTCACTATACAAGGCTTTAGACAATACTTGTCCATTCTTCTGTTGTGTCAGAAGCTACTACTTTGTACCCAAGTGTATCAAGCTGTGCCCAGTCTCCAGTGCCATTCTTGCTCATGCTGTTAAGCTTGACATCAAGCCAGCACATAAAGGTTGGAGCCATCTATAGCCACAGAAAAAGCCATATCTTTTCATCCTAGTCCACTGGCAGTGGGGGCAGATGTTCCTCTCTTATGCAGAACAAATTAATTATAGGGAATAATACAATAGGCTATTTCGGTTCAACAAAGAGGTACAAACCAATATATATTACAACAAAGAGATCCTGCACTGATAGAGCTTAGTTGGAAGACAAAGCGGGTTGTGAACTGCTCAGTAGGGTCAGTATGTTATGTCTTCTGAAGTGTGAAAATGTTTCTAACACTTTGTCTTCATGACATTTGTGGGTTAAAGATAATGACTTTGTACTGAATCTCAGCTGCATTAACCAATGACTATTGTTGGGATGCATTGCATAAGCAGCTTTATTTTAACTAGTGTTGTGTTACTCAAACTACTCCAAAGTACTATCCTGCTATTGAAAGCGGTTGTGGCAATCAATGATGGAGCAACCACACAACGGCGTAGGACTGTATGCTCTGGGAATTTGAATTTTCCAGCAACTTTGGACCATGCAGTACTGCATGGGTGAGCTGAAGAATCAGCAGCATTTTCCCATCCTTCATTCCGAGCAATCATTACTCTGAGGGGTTATGAACAACGAGCCATACGATGCGAGTGATCGCTCCCGAGGTCCTTAATCGAGACAAAGCTCTTGACTTTGAGTGCCAGGGGGCTTTTTACTTGTCACTTCAGTTGTGACTAGTATGAGTGAGGATGATAATTGTGTTTGAGTCTAATCAGTCTGATCAAGCGCCATTTACTTCAAATAGCCTGGGCTACTCGGTGCTTGCTCAGGAAAACCAACACCATCTAGAGAAATATTACACAAAGCGATGGCCAGTAAAACACATGTGTTTCCCTTCCACCCCAAAACCATTACTAGCTCAGGCGTGATAGATGTTTGAACGAGATGGGGCTGAAGCTCGATGCTGACCCATCATGTCACACAGTTTATAGGACAAAACGACAGAAATGTCTGTTAATTTGTGCATTGAATTTCGTTTCTGAATCTATAAGCAGCCTGATCCACTTCTCACCCCACTCCGTTGATGCTGTATCGGATATCATAGTAGCGACCTCCCCCTGCGCTGCCCAACACCCCGGGCAGCCGCCCTTACGCTTTTCCCGGGATCGCGATCTCGTTTCTCAGCTTTTGGCCAGCCAGGAACTTTCTCAGGTTCTCCACGATGAGCGCCTCGGCACCCTGGGGCCGGCCGCCGGCGGCATGCGGGCTGACGACGACGTTCTCGACCTGCCACAGCCTGGACTCCTTGGGCAGCGGCTCGGTCGCGAAGACGTCGAGGGCGGCGCCGCCGATCTGCTTGTTCACCAGGGCGTCGTAGAGGGCGTCCTCGTCGATGCAGGTGCCGCGGCCGACGTTGACGACCCAGGCGTGCTCGGGCAGCAGGGCTAACCTCTCCTTGCTGAGGGCGTTCTTGGTGGTGTCGTCGCCGGGGAGGATCATGACCAGGGCGTCTGTGTTCTTGAAGGTGTCGGCGATGTGGTCCTCGCTGACGACCTCGAAGGCGTCGCGGATGCCGGCGCTGCGGGCGACGCCCTTGACGTTGGCGCCGAGGGAGACGAGCCAGGGGGCCAGCTTCTTGGCGATGTTGCCGAAGCCCCAGATGGTGACGTTGGCGTCGCGCAGGGAGGTGAACCTGTCCTTTGGCCGGTCTGGCTGGGGCCCGCCGAGGTGCTGGGGCCACTGGCTCTTTGTCTGGTAGTCGCGCATCTCGTAGAACCGGCGGGCGGCGTTGAGCAGCAGGCCCAGGGTGTGCTCGGCGACGGTGTGGTCGTGCAGGCCGGAGCCGGTGCACAGGGTGATGGACGGGTCAAAGCCGGCGGCGAAGACGTCGTTGGGGCCGGCGGCGCACGACTGGATCCATTTCAGGTTCTTGAGGCGCTTGGCCGCGTCCTGCAGGTTGGCGGCCGAGTTGGTCCACACCACTAGGAACTCGGCGTCGACGAGGTCCTCCGGGATGGGCTCCTTGACATTGTAGGGGTGGATTGTCACGGGGAAGCCCTCAATGGCTTTGATGTCGAGCACGAGCGAGTTGTTGGTCGACTCGGGCTTGGGCACGAGGAGCTTCATCTTTGCTGAGGAGGGGGGCGACGACGACAGGGACCTGACTGAGGGCAGAGAAGGGCTGGTGATGCGCGAGAACAACGGTCTTGCGAAGATGGGCGTGGTGGGTTTGTAGAGAGGTCGCGAGCTCAAAAATCCAAGTCGACCAGAAAATTGTCTGCTGCACGATGACGGGCCCCAGCGTGAGATCATTGTAGCGAGCTTGTGAATAAGTGTGTGGACCGGCAAGAGCGCGGGGTCGATGTGGGGGTCAATTGGGGGAAGGCGCCCCGAAGGCTCGGGCCAAAGTTGCGATCTCGGCCTGAACCAGAAACAGCAATCCTCGCCGAACCCATCCCGCTCCCGAGAGGAGCTCCTCCGGTCGAGACCATGTATCCACCTGCGCTTGTCCTCCAGGATTGTTTACATGCTGGGAGACCTTGGTCTTTTTTTTTTTTTTTTTAGTAGCTCAGGTACGACCACCACGGTCTGTCACTCGGAAATATATAGCCTTGTATAATAGAAATAACATGCTATAATAATAAGTATTTATTCCTGTGCAAGAAGGCGTCTACTACACCAGCGTCGAGTCGCGAGGGCAGAGACGCAGGCTGCACCGCCTCTAGGCTCATAATGAGGCAAATCCAGCTATGACACTATCCGTTCACAAAATTTTAATCTCAGAACCACCAAAGCTCATCTTCAAGATTATCCTTCCACAGCTGAGGGCAGGGTTTCGTGCGATCCACGTTTCTCCACGATGCCGTCTCCGACGCAATGCGTGTATAGAGACTGGCACAGGGGGCTATAAGGAAAAACAGCTGGTAAATAACCATCATGCACATCCACAGAATAGCGGCTATACCCACGATGAAGAGAACAGAGAACATCAATACGCCAAATAACATTGAAGACTCAGATTCTTCTTGGCCGTCGTTCGAGACAGGAGCTGGCGGCGTTTCCAATTGTAATTGATTTGATGAACCTTGGCTGTCATTTGGGATAGGGGCTGGCAGTGTTTCTGATGCTTGTTCAAGTTGGTCTGATGTAGGGTCCATAGTTCTTTCAGATTGGAGTTCCCGGTCTCCGGTAACAAGGGCTCTCAAGCCATGTATGGAGAAGATGTAGTAGATCGATGATCGCCAGATGAAATATCCAGTCAACAAAGTCATTAAGACTTTCCAGAAGCTGTCTCGTAGTTGCAAAACGATAGACAATTGGGCGTAACCGCCGGCCAACTGGTAGAGAATCCTTCGTGGGATGAGTGCAATGTCGCGACCAAAAACGATGGCATGGGTTTCTGTACTGGGTAGTCCTTGCTCTTGCTTGAAAGAAGTACACTCGGGGATGCTACAGAGGGGCTCTGTGCATGGCTGAACGTGGCTCTCTAACGTCCAAGACACATTTAATAGCGAGATGGTGAAAGACTGGCACAGAGCGACCAGGCCAGAGAAGACTAACAGAAGCATAGCATAGTCCGCTCCTGCCGCCGTGTTGGAGAGAATGCGACGTATTAACAGTACTGCGGCTTGACAGTACTGCCCAAGTAAGATCAGCAAGACCAGCATGCGGCCAACCCACTTCAGATCTCGCTCGAGTGGTGTCGCTTTGACGTGAGCAGGACCGACGAGCGAGAGTGGGAAACTGCGGTCAACATCGAGCTTATCATTGAGACGACAGCTGCAGAGCCTTGCGAGCCGATACTTGAGGGTGATTTTCGTCTGCCAAGGTCCCGGGCTAATCCTGAGAAGATCTATGAACCCATACCAAAGCACTGTCGAAAATGACAAGACCGGCGCCAGTGGATTGGTGGAGACCTCGATTGCACGAAACAGCTCGAATTTCCAGGAACGCGAGCCATTGAGGGAGCTCAGGTGCCCATATACCCCCACCGTTGTCACGGTAGCTGCAAAAAGCTTGGCAAAAGCTCCTGTCGACGTCCTACGAGACCCCTCTGGACAGGTGCTTTGGTATTCCTGGGTCCCGGGTAGTGATATGTGATGATCCTCTAGAGCTCGGAAGGCAAAGATCAGGGCTAAGATGCTGCTCAGCATTGGAATGTAAAATGATGTCGGGCGGCATAGTCTTCGAAGTCTGTTCTTTGAAGTATCAAGTGTCCGAGAAAGATAGGGTTGGTCCGGCTGCTCGCCTGCTGTGGCTTTTTTGTCCTTTGCGAACAGCGTCACCGCGAGGATCCAGCCCCCAAAGATGGCGACTGACCAAAATGCGATGCGGATGCCTCGAAATACATACGTGACTATTTCCAGCGGGTGGCGGACAAAGGGATGACGAGTGGCCATTGTTTCGATCTTTTTGTTAGAACATGGCGGTCTCTATTCTTTCGCAAGAAACTCAACCCACCTGGTTCCAGCGTTGGTCAATGATATGGGAATGCCAAAAACTTGCAGATGCGAGCGCTGCGCCTCATTGGCAAAAGGGGCGCAACGGTGCGGGGTTAGTTCTGTCCCCAAAAGGTAGCGCAGTACACTAAACGCCCCAATTCGCCTCAAGGGAACGGGATCCCAATGGGATCCCAAAGTCGCTCACGAGAGTGAACACGGAGATCCTTACGGGGGTGAAACCTGCCGACTCTCGTGAGGGGCAAAAGTATGCATGGGCATGTCCATTGACTCAATTCGAAGGAAGAAGCTTCGTTCAGCAGAGATTGTAAAACAACATCTATTGGGATGTAATGGACTGCGAGTTGAAGTCATCGAAGTTGACTGCGTTCGGCATCCTCCTGCGCTATTGTGCGAGTATACAAAGGCAAGAAGTTGATACTAATAAAGAATGACTTTCCTAACTTTATATGGCCTATATTAATCAACTCATCATCATGAGAATTAATCAATTTCATGGGTACATAATTATGTCCCTAGGATGTTTCATTAAGGTTAGAAACGGTTGGGTGGATGTGATCACACTGAAGTGTTGAGCATATGATATTGTTGTGACCTCGTGAGAATGTGTCCAGAGTCTTGAGTAGTACGGGAAAAGCAGTGGAAAAGGGTTCAAGCATTTGTATTACCAAAGAGGTTTATACAGTCGAATGAGGCTTAAGTGCACTGCAGTTTACTTGCCAAAACTGTAGGATCTAACGGTATCTGCGCAGACAAGGACGGTCGACGCAATCTCAATTCTGTCCCTTCGAAGAGCCCGCAAAAATCGTGTTTGAAGGCATCTGGAAGTTCTTGACCCTCTGGTTGAAGGTGATGACATTCTAAGCCACCGTCAGCCACGCAGCTCCAGGATTCATGCCTTACTGCCCAGGGATCTCGAGACAGCACTTACACCATCCGGATCCTCAACTACCAGGTCCCTCAGACCCCAAGGCTTGGTCTCGATATCACCCCTGATTTTGGCCTCGTTTGCCTTGAGCGTGTCCCTCAGCTTCTCCAGCTCGTCATTGTCCCCGTCGATGCGGATATAGACCTTGCCAAACTGGACATCGTTCTCAACATCTGGAAAGCCCCGGCCTTCGTGAGAAAAGACCAAAATTAGCCAATGCTACGTTGACATGGTAGCTGAGTTGACATAGGAAGTTTTGTACACTTACGGCGCAGGTAGATGTTGACAGAAGCATCCCACTTCGAGACGCTGGTGTCGTCCACTAGTTGTACCCAGCAGTGGTTGTCTCCGTCGCGGCCCGCTAGGCGGAAGCCGAGGCGGCCGGTATAGTACTCCAGTGCCTCAGGAATCGACGAGACTGGCAATGAAGGCTGGATGGTGGTATATCTAGGAGCCATGGTCGTTTGTCGGTCTGGCTGGTGTGGACTTTGACGGTCGGTCGTTCAGTTTGTCACCGTTGTAGCCGGAGCTGAGGGAGCATTGGCCAGATACGTTCGTACTTGAGAGGAGGTCAAGGTTCAAGGGATGATGCAGGTGCAAGGAATGTTTCAGGGTCGAACCCTCATCGCAAGCTCATGAAGATCACTCCCCAGCGGCGACAGCGACGAACGTACATGCTCAGGTAGGTTTGCAAAGGCGCCTGCGCAAACGACAGTGTGCAAACAAAGGTGTGCCAAATTCGTTCAATCGTCTTTTGCGTGTGGGCAGACATTGCCAAGGAAAATCGAGATATAGAGGGCTACCGGGCGAGGGACATTGACCAAATTGTTGCTCTCTGAGCGCATTGCCAGGCTATCAACTCCTTTCCTAAGTTGCATGGTATGCGAATGAAGACTGATGGACAGCTCTAATTCTAGTTGCTTTCCGAAACTCTGTGATGAAATGTATCAACTCTTTTGTGGGCGGACGTGAAGATGTGCGTGGTGGAGCCCGGTGTCCAGCGTCGATCTGCCGAATGACTGCGTGCGATTCTGCAGAGACACTCAGGACGGCACACTGATGCCGTACTTGTCGTAATTGAACTGTTCCAAACTCGGTATGCTTTCTGCCCAGCCGTCATCAATCTCTCCGGGCTGCTGATCGTCTCCCGCGTCGAACAATCCCGTTCTCCCGGCCAGAATGTCCTTCTGCCTTGCTTCATACTCGACCGCCACGTCGGGATGCGGCACCCAGATCACCCTCATGCCAGCCCGTCTCCCAGCCTCGACTCCGACTGCGCTGTCCTCAAAGACCAGGCACTCGTTGGCTTTGATGGGCTCCTCGCAGCGGTCCACCGTCGAATTCAGAACGTCCAGCGCAAGGAGATAAAGGTCTGGCGCTGGCTTTCTCCGGCCCTTGCGCAGGCGCGGATCATCACCAAAAATCCGCCTCTCGGGCTGGAAGAAGCCAAGTAAGCGCTCAGTCTCGGGCCTCGAGGTCTTCAGAGCGTAGATGTCGCTGGTGGTGCTGGATGCCAGCGCCAACTCAATCTTGTCTCCGGGAGAGGAGCTGCGCGCACTGCTGAGGTTGAACAAGAGCTTCTCTGCGCCAGGCATTGGCTCACAATCGCGAAAGAGCAGCTGCATATGTGCTCTTGATTCGCGAGCCCATTGCTCGCGGGGGATGGGCAATCGTGCCCAGTCATGGAATACGTCTCCGTTGGACGAGTCATGCACGCCCATGAGCTTGGATCGAACTGACGGGGTAAAGGTCGGTCTTTCATATTTCTCCAGGAGCTGGTTCAGGGCCTTGGTGATGATGTCCTCCGAGTTGATGAGGAGCCCATCCAGGTCGAAAATGCACGCGCGGATCGCGGGGAGCCTGAAAGTAAATCTTTCTCAGCTTTGGAATCCATACAACGGTTTTTCTGGCCTCATTGTGCCGCCCACGGTCTGCTAGAGTCTAACGACCATGCGAACAGCACTTACTCTTTCTCGTGAGAAGCCATGAGTACGTACCCGTGAGAGGCTAGGTATGGTATTGAGTTTGGCAAACTGGCAGTCGGTGGCACCAGAGCGGTAATGGGTTAGTTGGCGCATGCAACGTGGGTCTTGAGAGGTGCAGGGACGCCCTTGCGTAACAAAATCCAACGGTCTGCTGTGGCTGAGAAGCCATCAGGATGGACCGTACCCCAACTTCTTCTCGCTCCACTCTTGCCCGCCGCCCCTCTACGGCACGTATCACCTTCCTTCGGCTTCGGGGGTGGGCCTCTCTAAACGCCTCCGTTTGTTTACAGCACTTGATGGCGCTACTCCAAAACCCTGCCAGGGTGCCTAGGGTGCTTATATTGGAGGTGGAATCCTTGGAATGATAATTTTGGAGCCTCTGCGAGTCTATTAGGCAGCGCGCAGGTTTGTCGTGCAGGGGCTCGTGCAGGGACGAACGAGCGGAGAAGCCTCGGTTTACGGCAGGCCATAATTCCACCACCCAGCTGTCACGAAGCATGCGTTAGCAGCGCTTGACCGCGGCTGCTCGGAGCGTCAATCCGTGCCTGGCTATGTGAACTAGCACGTCTGGGGAGATTCACCCCAGGGTCCTCGAAAGATGATGACAGAATGTGATCTTTCCCCGCTGGCTCCGTCTGGGCCTGGCATTGGCAAGAGACCACTGACCGAGACGATATAAGGCGCGCAGGTACGTGCATCAGTCCAGTCAACATGAGGTGATCCCCACTCCTTTGTACTCGCCCAAACCCTTGGAATCGAGGCGATCACGGCCGAGATGGTATCCCCTTACCGGCTTGCAGCCGTCCTGGCTTCCCTGTACTGCTGTGCTCAAGGCCTAGCCACGAGCGCCCAGGGCAAACAGCTCACTGTCGTTGACCCTGGGACGCGAGGCCCTCCAAGACCTGGTGAGACCTGCCGTTCTAGCTACACCGTTGCGCGTTCTGACATTGCATAGGTGACATGGGACTCCCACTCGCTGTTCGTCAGGGGTGAGCGTATCGTGTTCTACTCGGGCGAGTTCCACCCCTTCAGGCTTCCTGTGCCTGGTCTCTGGCGAGACATTCTCCAGAAGATCAAGGCCCTGGGCTTCACCGGCGTGTCTTTCTACGTCGACTGGCGCCTGCACGAGGGCAACCCTGGCGGGTTCAGCGCAGATGGCGTCTTTGCCTGGGAACCATTGTTCGAGGCTGCTTCGGAAGTGGGACTGTACCTGTTGGCACGGCCTGGTCCTTACATCAACGCCGAGGTGGCAGGGGGTGGCTTTCCTGGTTGGCTACAGAGGGAACAGGAGATGTTGCGGACCAACGGCAGCTTCGTCGATGCTACCAAGAACTATGTTGACAAAATCGGAAAAATCATCGCGGATGCCCAGATCACCAATGGAGGCCCAGTCGTGGCATTCCAGGCGGAAAATGAATATACGTTTGGTGCAAGCTGGGTTGAATGGCCGGACGTCGAATACATCGACTCTGTGAACAAGCTGTTCCGCGACGCAGGCATCCTTGTTCCTTTCATGAACAATGAGGCCGCAGCAATTGGCCTGTTCGTCCCTGGAGAACCTGGCGGACCAGACATCTACGGCCATGACAACTACCCCATCGGCTGGACCTGCAGTCAACCGGACAATTGGACTGTCGGTGCCATTCCAACGAACTTCCGCGAGCTGCATCTTGAACAGAGCCCAGACACGCCGTACGCCATTCCAGAATTCCAAGGCGGTGCTATTGCCTACTGGGGTGGCTCGTGGGATCTAGACGACTGCGCGGCTTTCATCGGGCCCGAGGCCGAGCGCATCTTTTACAAGAACACCCTCTCTTTTGGTGCCACCATTCTGAACCGCTACATGACCTACGGAGGAACCAACTGGGGAAACTTGGGCCAGCCAGGCGCATACACATCTTACGACTACGGAGCAGTAATCAAGGAGGATAGGACTCTGGTCCGTGAGAAGTACGTGGAGGCCAAGCTTCTGGCACAGTTCATCAAGGCATCTCCAGCCTATCTCGAGGCCACGCCTGGAAACCTCACCAACACGACTTACACGAGCACAACGGCAGTTTCGACAACACCCATCTTTGGAAACACAACTAACTTCTACGTCGTTCGTCACTCTGACTATACCTCTCGCGAGTCTACAGATTACACATTCAGTGTCCCAACCAGCGTCGGCAATGTGACGATCCCGCAGCTTGGTGGCACCTTGACGCTGAACGGCAGGGACTCTAAATTCCATGTCACTGACTACGACGTTGGTGGCCACAACCTTGTCTACTCATCCGCAGACATCTACACCCACGGCGCCACTGGAGACAAGCGCGTGCTTATCCTATACGCCGGGGCTGGAGAGACCCACGAGTTTGCGTTCCCCGCCAAGCTGGGCAAGCCCACAGTCGAAGGTGACAGCAGCACCGTCAAGATCGAAACCGCTGGCTCTGCGGTTGCTGTGCAGTGGGAGGTCACTCAGGAGCGGAAGGTCCTACATTACGGCAGCAACTTGGATGTGTACCTTCTGTGGAGAAACGAGGCCTTCAACTATTGGGTCTTGGATCTTGAGGCTGCCTCCCCAGTTGGCAATTACACGGCCCCGAATAAAGAGACCGTGATTGCAAAGGCAGGTTACCTGCTTCGGACGGCCACCAAGTCAGGGACTGCGTTGTATCTCACGGGTGACCTCAACGCAACCAGTCCGCTGGAAATCGTCGCTGGTCTCCCAGGCTCCAACAATATCTACTTCAACGGAGTCAAGGTGCCTGGCGTGAAGTCTGCCAATGGTCGGTTGTCGGCAACATTGACATACTCACCGCCCAGTATTGATCTCCCTGACCTGTCTGACCTGTCGGCCATAGAGTGGAAATACGTCGACTCACTTCCAGAGATCCAGGCATCTTATGATGACTCGCAGTGGACGAAGGCCGATCAAGCCAACACCAGCAACACCGCTCGTGATGAGCAGGGCAACGTATTGACCCTCAAGACACCGACCTCTCTGATTTCCGGGGACTATGGATACCACACAGGCTCCCTCATCTACCGCGGGCATTTCACCGCCAGCGGCAACGAGTCATCGCTCCACCTGACCACCCAAGGCGGATCAGGCTTCGGCCACTCGGTCTGGGTGAACTCGACCTACCTCGGCTCCTTCAACGGCGCCGGCACGCCAGGCGGCTACAACCAGACGCTGAGCCTCCTCCCCGCAAGTCTCGCCAGGGGCAGCGACTACGTGATCACCGTCCTGATCGACCACATGGGCGAGGAGACGAACTGGACCCCCGGGTTCGACACCATGAAGACGCCCCGCGGCATCCTCAACTACACACTCGACGGCCACCCGCAGTCCGACGTGGAGTGGAGGGTCACGGGCAACCTGGGCGGCGAGCAGTACCTCGACCTGGCCCGCGGGCCGCTGAACGAGGGGGCGCTCTTTGCGGAGCGCCAGGGTTATCACCTCCCCGAGCCGCCGAGCGATCAGTGGGAGGTCAGGAGCCCGGTTGAGGAGGGTGTCGAGGGTGCGGGTGTTGGGTTCTTCGCTACGAGCTTTGACCTGGACATTCCCAAGGGTTGGGACGTGCCTATGAACTTTGTGTTTGCCAACACGACGTCCGCGGATGGTGGCCCGGCGGACTTCAGGGTGCAGTTGTTTGTGAATGGATACCAATTCGGGAAGTACAGTGAGTTCTGACCTCCACCTGCGGCCGTTGACAGGCCTTTGACAGGGGCTTGGGCTCTTTGCCGCCGGCTGAAGATACGTGAACATGTACTGACCACACTTTCTAGTCAACAATCTTGGCCCACAGACCAGGTTTCCCGTCCCACAGGGCATCCTCAACTACGGCGGAACGAACTATGTATCCATCACGCTCTGGTCTCAGGAGGAGTCGGGTGCCAAGCTGGGTGGACTGGAGCTCGTTGCGGACGCGGTGATTCAATCTGGCATGAGTGATCCTGGTCTCAGCCCAATGCCAGCCTGGGAGGCGCGGGAGAGTGCCTACTGATGGTCTTGAAGTCGCTCATGCATGTACACTTCTGCATACGGGCCTTATTTAATCTGTCATCTGCCGTGACAAAATCCTGAAAATACTGCCTACCATAAAAGTGACATTGCTGTATACTTGATGAGGCCAAGGAAAGCGCAGAGGTAAATCCGGTGAATTTCAAGGGTAATCACTCCACCGAAGCTGTCATACAGGAGCGATGTAGGAGGTTACACGGTCATTAGTCGCTAGCCTATCACCCGAAACAAGCCGGCAGTGGTGAAGTATTGATTCCTTTCGCAAGCGGCGTCCCGTCGCGAAGCAGACATCCCATCGCCTCACGATCCGGCCTCCTCCTAGTCCTCGCCCTCAACGCCACACCACTGCTCCATCTCAGGGTGATCGCCCAAGTCGAGTCGCAACACGGTGCCCAGCTGCAGCGCAATGTCCCGGTACACAACATAGTGGCTCTTGATGGCCTTCCACTCCTCCACGCTGCCGTCGTCGCAGAAGACCTTCATCACGCCCACCCGGCACGTGTCCTGGTCGAAGCTGTCCTGCAGCAGCGCGTGCTCCGTCATGTCCCTGATCACCACCTCGTTGGTGATGTTGTCGGTGTACACGGGGAACCCGAGCGCCACGCACATTATTTTCTCGGGGACGCGGCGGGCCGGGTCGGGAAGCAGCGGAGGCGCGAAGATCTCTCGTACGAGGTCCCACTCTGCCGACTGGGTGTCTGCGAGGACCCAGGAGCCCTTGAAGCCCCTGAACCGGATGGTAGAGGTCAGGACGTCTGTGGCGATGTCTGTCGAGGGGTGTCAGTTATCTGGTCTGGGATGCTCGAAGTGGCAGGGACAAGTGCTTTGCCTGTGCTAAGGCTCTGCACTTCGAGAAGAGTTAGGTAGATCGGATTCAGAAGGGAAGCGGCCTACAGATCAGTCTGAAACCATATGATTCCAAGTCTAGCTGCTCCATGAGAGGCACGAGGCAGCGGAGGACCATCGCGTTCATCACAACGGTGCCGGTCTCTTTGGGGCTCACAAAGGGGACACATGGCACAATTCCTTTAAGGGCGAGGAGCACCTGCAAGTGATACCGCAGATGGGCAACGGGGTGGCACTTGGGCGAGCCACTCGAGTTGTGCATTTTGGTAATAGAATCGTGGTCCAGGTTGAGTAGGAACTCGCGCTCGGCCTCGCGAAGAGTGGTGAATGCTTGTTCGGCGACGCTTTTCATGAAGGATTCGTCGCGAGGCTTGATGACGGCGACGTGCTGGTCGGTGGGCTCATCAAGGGATCGAATAAAGTCGCGCAGCTCGTGCTTCTGGACTTCCATCTTCGGTGGCAGAAGCTTGTTGACCTATGGAATGAAATGGACATGTCAGTTTGTCGATCTGGAGTGGATGCTCGGGCGTTCTCCTATCCACTGTTTGAATTCCTCACTTGTGTTGCTTACCTGGGTCGTCAGCTTCTTCAAGCCTGTTTCTGGCTGCGCTGCCCGGATGGCCGCGATCATCGCCCGAGAACCTAGGTTGAGACCCATGTTTTGGTTGACTTTTTCCGGAAACTGTGGTGAAGAGGTTGTTGAAGGTGAACGGGGGATGATACAGAAAGGTGGTCTGCCGGGATGGTTATTAACACAAGGCTGCAACGGCATCAAGACAGGAGCCAGAAACGTTGGCTGAGACCGACCAGGCTTCTGTTCCAATAATATGGCTTCAAAGTGGGTCCCATAGACAATTGGCTTGCTTTGTACAAACTTGAAGGCGCCTCCTCCCTATCCACCTAGGCAGCTAGCACCACTTGTGATTAATTGCCTGGAGTAGACAAACAGTAAAACTTCAAGCAAAGTTCTTTAAAAAGGCACCCGGGATGGACAGGTTCCCTGGTGGCAGTGTTCATGTTTTTGAACAAATTGTGTCTAGAGTTATCCTTACTCGTCTCTCATCAGCTATATTCACCCTGAGCTCTTTCCCCATCAACCTCGCAGGGCTTTCGTCTCGTGTTCAACCTTTCGTCTCATCTTTGGGCATGTCAAAGACCTTGCCTGGGTTCATTATCCACCTTGGATCAACAGACCTCTTAAGCGTCTGCATCAGCCCAATAGTGCCATCACCCAATTCATCCAACAGGCACTCCTTCTTCCCAATCCCAATCGCATGCTCCCCTGATACTGTGCCCTCCATCTCCAAGGCCCGGCTCATCATATCGTGGACCACATGACTGACTCTCCTTGCCATCTTTTCGTCCTTGGGGTCATACATCATCGCCACATGGAAATTGCCGTCTCCAATATGGCCGATCACGCTCGCAAATATTCCCAGCGAGCCACATTCCTTCTTTGATATCTCGATGATCTCAGCCAGCCGCGACAGCGGGACCGCCACGTCCGTAGACCAGACCTCCGTCCCCGGGGGCCGGTTGCTGACCATTGTGAACAGTGCCTCCTTTCGCGCCGACCAGAGGTCATGCTCATCATGTTTCGTCTTGGCAAAGTGGAACGGGACACTGCCGGCGACGCTCCTGATGATCTCTGTCGAGCGCTTGACGTCGCTCTTGATGCCGTCTGTCGTCCCCGAGTACTTGATAAACAGCGTCGGTTTCTCGTCCCACCTCCTCTTGCGGACGGTCTCGCTGCCTTGCTTGTTGAGGATCTGCATCTGCACGTCGTCCATGATCTCGAGCGCGGCGAGCGGGATGCCGGAACGAATCAGCGAGGTCGCTGCCGTCGCTGCTGCGGAGATGCTGGGGAAGGCTACCACCGCAACAGAGGTGTCAGCCGGTATTGGGGCGAGCTTCAGTGTGATTTCGGTCACAATCCCCAGCGTGCCCTCCGCGCCGACGAACAGGGAGGTGAGATTGTAGCCTGCGGACGTCTTGCGAGGTCGTCTCCTAGTCTTGACCACGCTTCCGTCCGGGAGAACGACTGTCAAGTTCACAACCCAGTCTTTCATCGTGCCGTAGCGCATAGCGTTCGTGCCGCTGCAGTTTGTAGACACCATGCCACCGAAGGTTGCCGTCGGCGATGGGTCCATGGGGAAGAAGAGGCCCGACCCTGCGATTTTTGTGTTCAGATCCATCCAGTTGACACCAGGCTGGAGAGTAACATCCATGTCGTCCGGCCTGAATGCAATGACCTGGTCCATGTGCGTGAAGTCTATGCAAATACCGGAATATGGCTGAGAGAAGTTGCCCTCGACAGACGATCCGGCTCCGAACGGTACCATGGGCACGCGCCGAGCACTACATGTCTTGGCAATGGCGACGACGTCTTCCGTCGACCGTGGGTAGACAACGGCAACAGCTCGTACGGGGGTGTTGGATGTGCTCCATTCGGAGTGTCCATGGTGATCGATCACATCCTCGTCGTAAGTCACCTGTTCCACCCCGATCAGGCCCGCGATCTCACTGGCGGCTTGCAGCATCTCCTCGCGAGGAGCATACGGAGATGACAGTACCCCATCGTCCGAACCTCTGAAGTAGATGACAGCAACAGCTATTGCTATGAAGGTGGCTGGCAGGGCTAAATAGTAGGGGATGGGAAGCCGAGGCCGCTCACCACCCTTGTTTGGGCCCGCGCCCTTTAACTGCTTCGATGATTCAGGTTGCCCCGGAGCCTTCGAAGGTCCTGGATCCGCTGGTTTGACCGCATGCGGCTTGTATTCTTTGATGGGTGCAAACCGCTGTCTAGATGTGGTCGACTTCCATCGTTGCGGAGCCGGGACGCTGCGTTGTTGAGCTGTCCTGACAGTGAAGGCGAAGCTCGGCGAGGGGCGACTTCTCGACCTTGCAATCGAGGCCATTCGCACAGGCTGTTGAGCCTGAGCTGGTCGGTATTGTGGCATCATCTCATTCTCTGGTCTCAATCGATCGCTTCCAGGTCTGGTCCGTCTGGACCTCCGGCAGTCTGGAAGCAAAAGAATGGACCAGGGCCAGTGGAGCTACGTCGCCATTGAGCGAATGATGTTCAAGTTTGGATTTGTCACGGTCCGGGCCCCAGCCCAGTGTACTCTCATATGCAATCAATCGTATTAAATTGGCGCTAGTAACTTACACATAACACACCACACTAAAAATCATATGCACTTATCATGCCGTTAATTAATACCCTTGATATCATTAATTTATATACTAACTAAGGTTATTATTACCGCTAAAAGCTTATATATTAATTATTATATATAATAATTACCCTTAACTATAATTTCTTACCCTTTAACTTATTATTAAGGTTTATAAAAGCCATTAATGCCTTGCTAAAGTTTTAAAGAAGTATAATTAATATTAAGCATTATTTATTTATATATAATCATAGCTAATAAAAGTATTTATATATTATAAGGCCCTTAAATAAAGCTATTATTATTTTTACTTTAAAGTTAATTTTATATAATAATTATAAGCCCTTAAATTATAACCCTTGCTATTAATTATAATCCTAGCTTAAACATTATATTATCTTTAATAATAATCCTTTAAAGTTAATAAATATAATATTTATAAAGAAAAAAAATATTATCTTTATAATATTTAATAATCTTCTTTTAAAAAAGCCTTAAATTATTATTAAGCTAAAGATAAAGCTTTTTTTATTATTATTAATAAAGCTTACTTAAAAGCTATTAATAAAAAGGAAGCTATTATTATTAAAAAAAATATTTCTAAAGCCATTATTATTATCATCATTGCTAAAAAGCAGCTTTGTTAAAAATAATAAAGAAGAGTTAAATTCTCCCCCTTATAATAATAAAAACCCCTTTGCTAACCCCTTTATTATTAAAAATAATAATATTTAAGAAATTATTAAAAAGATTATTATTAATAGCTTTCTTAATAATAATATTAAGATTAAGTTGCAAATAAATATAAAAGTAGCCTTTTTCTTTTTTTTAGCTAGCTTAGCTAATTAATTTAAGGATATTGCTATATTTATTTTTTTAATAAAATACTTAAAAGGATAATGCAATAAATTTAGCAATATTTTTATTAATTAACTTATTAAATAGCTTAAAAAGTTTAAAAAGTAAATTGTTATTAACCTTAAAGGTTATTAAGTAAAGTATAAATTTCTTAGCATAATAATTTAATTAAAAAAGAATAGCATATTAAAACTTACTTATTTAAATTAATAAGTAATAAATATAAATCTTAAAATTATATAATTATTAATATATAACCTTATAAAGTAAATTAATAGTAAAGCAATACTTATTTTAAATATTATATATTTTTTTTAAATATTTATTATGCTTTATATTATTTTAAGGCATTAATAAGGTTTAATTACGTTATTATTAACCTTTAAAGGCTTTATTAATATTTAATTTTATAAAATTAAAAAAGCTATTATTATAAAAGCAAAAGAAAATAACTTATTTTAAATTAAGCAATTTAATATTAAGATTAATAATATCTTTTAATTAAGTAATTAATTAAGTTTCTTAGCAAAATTTATAAAAACTAGCATTATATAAAAAGTTATTACTGCTTAAAGAAACGTTAAAATAAAGCTATTTACTTAATTAAGTTAATAGCTAAAACATTATAATAAAGAACGTTATTTTAATTATAAAAAGGAGTTAAAATTAATAGCATAATGCTTTATTAAGGGGAATAAAATATATTTAGCTTTTATATATAAAGACTTACTTAAGTAAGTTAATTTAATAAAGAAAAAGCAAGAAAAGGCTTTTTTAAATTATATCTTTAAAAATATATATAATTAAGCATTATTTTAATTAATTAATTAAAAGTAAAGTAATTAAGCTAAAGTATTTAAAGTTTTTTTAATCCTTAAGTTAAATAATAATATTCTTTTAATTATATTAAGGTACTTAAGTAAAGCTAATATATTTAAGCTAAAAAGAAATAATATAAGCAGCGGAAATATTATTAATATTAATAAAAGCAATAATAATAATAATTAACTTACATTAATATTTATAAATGCCTTTAATGATTATTTAACGCCTTAATAATTAACTTTATTGCTGCTAGCATTATAAGCAGCTAAGCATGTATATATGCTACTTATAACCCCTTTTTTTATTAAAATATTAATAATAAGAGTTACGCTATCTTTATTATATTATTTATTAATATTTTTATTATTCTTAATAATGTTTAATAACCTTAAGAATAATAAATTATTAAATAACTTTTTTTAATATATATATTATTAAAAAGCTTAGCATTATTAAGAAAAGCAAGAAATAAGTTACTTAGCAATAAAGCTTTAAAATATAAGCTTAAGTATATTTAAAAACTTTTTAATATAATTAAATAAATAGTTTATTAATTATTAATTTAAAAAGAACTTAAAAAGCTTTCTTTATTAATATATAAAGAACTTTATATAAGAATGCAATATATTAAAGGAGGGTATATTAAGCTTATTAGCACCCTTAAAGGTAGTTAAGGGCTTTAAAAATAATATTATTATTAAAAGTAATTAATTATAATTTATTTATTATATATAAAAGGGTATTTTAAGTATTACTTTTATTATTTTAATAATAATAAGTAAAAAGTAATAAAGTTAATATTAATGCTTATAATATAATAAGTTTTATAAATTAACTTAACTTATTTATATTTATTATGCCTTAATATAAAATATTAATTTCCTTAATTAATATAAGGCTAATTATAATAATAATATTATTATTAAAAATATAAAGTTTAAAATATTTAAATATAAAAATTATATTATATTTATAATTTTTTTAATAAAGTTATAATTATATAAAGTTAAGCATTTAAATATTAAATATTATTATAATTTAAGCTTTGCTTATTGTAATTAATTAATGGGCTTTAGCCTTATAAAAATAGGCTTTAATATAAATATAAATAAAAAGTAAATCTTTTCCTTTACACTTTAAATATAAACCTTATTTAAATACCTTATAATAAATAACTTAAAGTTAGCTTATAATATATATTTAAAGTCCTTTTATATTATAAACTTATAATGTAATTATATAAAACTTAATATAGCAAAACTTAAAAAGAATAATGGCAGCTTATTAAGCCCTTCCTTATTTAAAAAAATTCTTATTTTAAGAATATTTAGCAACTTAATTAATAAAGATAAGGGTTAAGTTTATAATAAATAAGGAAGTAATTAATATTAAAGGGGCTTAATTCTTTTATATATTTAATTAGCTGGAAACTTTTTATAATTACTTTTTGCTTTATATTAATTTTATAAAGATATTTAAGAAGTAATTAAAAAGCTTCTTAAAAAAGGTTTGCCTTGCATTTAAAAACCCTTTTAAGCAAAGATATGCTAAGCTTAGCTTAATTACATTATAATAACATTATAAAAAGAAAATAGCAGAATTTCTTGCTTAATTTAATTAATTAGCTTATATAGCAAAGACTTAAAGTTAGCTAAATAAATGCAAAATATTATTAATAATTAATAACTTAACCTTTATAATAAAAGCTTAGCTTAATTATAAAAAGTAGTTAAATATATTTAAGGCCTTTTATTTTGCCTTATAATAATATAAGGGTGTTTTTAACATTATAATAAAGGAAGATAATACTTAACCTTAAAATAATAAAATAATAAATATTAATATTATAATAATTTTAATAAGCAAAGTTAAGTATTTTATATATAGCTAACTTAGCTATTATAAGCATAATTATCTTAATTATTATAAAAAAATAAGGATATAACTTTTATTAATTAAGGCTAATAAAGGAAAGGAATTTATTTAAGGAAGTATAAAATTTTTTTTATAAAGTAAGGCTTAAAAGCAATGCTAACTTAGCATTAACTTAAACTTAAAGTAAATTAACTATATATTAATTAATTTAGCCTTATAAAAATGCTTAAAATTTAGGAAATTCCTATTAATAAAGTAAATTACTTATAATTAAGCGTTAATTAATTATAAATTATATAATAAATTTATAGTTTTAAGGTTTTAAGTAAAGGAGCTTATATAAAAGGTTTATATTAAAGGATTATAAGAATATTATTAGCTTAGCTATTAACTTATGCTTAAATAATTATTTTTTATTAACTTACTTTAATTAATATATTAAATTATAAGGATTAAAATATATTAATTATAAATAATAAGCTAAGCCTTTAATATAATTAAGAAGCGCTAAGGTATAATTAAATGGCTAAGTAAAGAGCAATATTTAATTTATAATTAAATTATAATATTCTTTATTTTTTATTATATAGCTACCCTTTAAGGCTTATTATAAAAACTTAAAAAAGGAGGATATATTATAGTTTAAGCTTTACTTATTATAATTAATTAATAAGCTTTAGCTTTATAAGAATAAGCTTTAATATAAGTATAAATAAAAAGTAAACCTTTTCCTTTATACTTTAAATATAAACCTTATTTAAATACTTTATAATAAATAACTTAAGGCTAGCTTATAATAAATATATTATATTTAATAACCCTTATATTAACTTATAAGCCTTATCTTTATAATATATATTTATTATAATTATATAATATATATTTAATGCTTTAAAGCATTATATTAATTATATTGTTGATGGGTATTGTATGTATGGAGAGTAAGGGCAATAGCAGTTAACTATTGTATGGGTAATTGATTCGGCTATGGTGTGGAGGGTAGGTTGCAGCAAAGCTGCAGCCTTCCCCCGTCTGGCTATAGGCTAGCTATGGTGGTCCGTGCGCGGGGCACGTGACCGCCAGCTGGCAGCCGGCTGGCACTGGCTGGCAGCTGCTATTAATAAGATTAGTTTAAACCTTGCACCTCCAAATCTATGCAGTGCCTGCAGCGCACCCACTGCGTG